TCATTTCCCACTCAGAGTCGTAGGGCGTTCGAAAGCGTATTTGGCTCACATAATGAATTACGGCTCACAATCAGTCAACCTGCAACTTAGTGCTTTCAACTTTCCAGGCAATTTGAAGGTTATGAACTGAGTTTGAAAGAATGGAAAATATGATTGGCCCGAGCGGGAATCATTGGAGCACTGCCTCAATCTGGAACTGTGTGGTAGGGAGCACTTTAGCGATGCCCCATCTTCCCAGTGTCACAACTTGAAAGAAAGCATGGTGTATAAAAAAGAAAGGTGTTTTGAATAGCGAAATCTGCGACGCCTTCTCACATTATAAAGCTCTGTTATACTGCGTAACCGCGTGGCGACCGCCCGCGTCACATCCCGTTGTGCTCTGTCACGCACTCTTTTTTTATGTAAGCTCTCCTAACTTTAACTAGGATCGAACTTGTGATGCAATAAATTTGACCTGCAAGAAATTTAAACGAACAAAAGGTTGGGTTATAAAAAGACTTGGCTGGTTCCCTCACAACGCGCATTTTTGAGCGTAACTGCCCACTTGCGGTAGCGACAACTTCACGAGGTCTCCCGAAAGACAATTCAGTTCATCATAAAGTCCCTATAACAACAATCTATCCTCTACCTCTGATGTTGTGCTTACCAGTCGAGAACAGACCGCAGGATCAATAGACTTTTGGTAAGGCTAAAGAAGCACGGAGCGTTTGAAGGAGAGTGGGAATGCACAAAATGACGGTAATAAGGCTAGACAAAATGGTAGGCTGCCAATTAGATCGTCGTCGTGGTTGCCATTTGAACATTTGTTGAATTGGCTTCGGAAACAATGACAATAACATTAGGGATAAGATGGATGACTTGAAATATTAGATGACGGTTTAGCCCAAAAGCCTGGATAGCTGAGGAAGAAGGATCTCAATAACATGCCCGATTCGCATGGACCCAACTGTTTTTAAAAATTTAATTTTCTGAAAATTTCTCGTCGTCAGATCAGAGCGTTTTATCATTCGGAGCTTCCAAATTAACAAGGAAAGTTGTATTCCTGTTAAGTACTTACCATTGGTAGGTCGTCAGGTGGCCTTGAATGAATGGAATTCGGTCGCCTTCGATGGAGAGATTTTGCTGTGGAACTTTCTGACGAACCGTGATATTTCGCACTATAAACAGAAAGTTCAAATTCACGTAAATTGCGAAGTTAGAAATGTCTCAGCATAAACTTTCAGTACAAGAAAAGACGCTCTGGATGGGAAAGGGTAAGGGGATGAAGAGAATGAAAAAGTGGGCAGGTACGCCCATTCAATGTTTTACTTCCTCAGGCGCTCAATGAGCAACCATGAGTGCCGCCCTGCCCCCGTCGTCTCTATTTCCCTCTGCCGGAAAAATAGACGATTAAGCTAGGTCTGCACATGACAGCTACAACGATCTGGGATTGCGATAGAGTGACTTGCCGTCTGCCACCATCTGAACAATTCGACGGACAACCGACCTCATCCGATCCGCCGTACGTATCCGAGATGGATGGACGTGATGTTGTCGTGGAAAAAACAGATCCAAAATGCAACACAAGGTGGCAGGCCAAGTTTATTAATAGGCGACAGCTTGTCAAAAGTGTTCCCTAAGTGACTTCTCTAGGGACCCACATGGAGGACGCCATAAATATCTAAGTTGCCCCCCGATAGATACATGAGCTTTCCTTGAGCCACACACACACACACACACACGCACACTCAAAGCTCTCTCACGGTTAGTTCGGCAAACAAACGCCATTAGAGAATGGTGGTAACCGGAGGCGTCACAGGAAGCGGGAGTGGGTGAGTCATAAGATGCCCGTTTGGCACCAGGCTCATTCTCGAGATCAGTTTTTCGAGAACCTCCCGCTGAACCCAACAATTAGGGACGGATAGCGCTCCGAATACGCGAAAAATCGACAATGGGCGATGAAACATCACTGAACATAGAGCTCGATCTTTGGCAGACTTATCTTAACCACTTCGTATGGAGTGCTAAACTCGTTCCAAAAAATGTAGGCCGCGGAAACCCGCAGGGTAACCCCTCCCCTCCAATCGTTTGCAGTTGCAGAAAGATAGGGTCGACAAGGGGTTAGATGCTGATTAATTCAGTTTCTGGACTACATTCGCATTTGGCTTCTATTCAGAATCGTAGTGGCATATGGAGTGCGTATTCGGTCAATGACTTGCGAGAGACAAGGGACAAGGTTGTGGCCAAGTCTTCCCAGATGGATCTGATAGCGAAAAAAAGCTGTGGGAGGATTGCTAGCCTGTATAACCCGTACCTTTTCAATACGGTAGCAAAGAGGGATTTCAGGATCAAAAATGTAAGCACAAATTCTGAGGAGGATTTGTCCGATAAAAGTCTTACTTGACTCCTCCTGCAGTAATGGATAACTAGAATATAAAAGAAAATTCGAGCAGATCTTCAGATTTCCGATTTTTCTCGATTCCGACCTCAAATATTATTATTTTGTCAACGCACTCGAAGTGCATGAAGCCGCGAAAAAAATTGAGGACGGGGTCTTCCAACGTTGATCAAATCCGTTCTGAGATACACCATGCACACGTCTTCAACCCAAAAAAGTAGTGGCATACTGAATGCGGTGTAGATTATAAAATGACTTCTATGTAGACAAGTTTGGTTTTGAACAATCGAACCATGATGGATAGAAGGACTAACTGGTTCAGGCGTTTGCTGATCTCGAAGTAGGAACGAAGAAAATTAGCCATAGATTTAATAAAAAAGAGCCAAATGTGGTATTCACTAGTTGTCTATATATATGGTGTACCTCAACTTGCGTGTGCTTAGAAACGGTTAAGGCGAAAGAACATAGATTTT